CAACTAGTGCAAATAATACGATGAATAACAAAAGAAAAACAAGCACCAAATTACAGCCTTTGCTGCAAACTTGAGAAGGAAGCTTCCACTTAGAGCCCCAATTCAATATGTGCATGCCTACTAATTAAATCAAAGGGCAACTACGGTAGATATTGTAGTGTGATGAATGAGCCAACACATACAGGATGGTGTAATTCTCTCACAAATGATTGATGAATGATTGAAAACAATGATGCTAGCTTCATACTCTCCGTTCAGCTGTCTCTCACATAAATGAGACGTTCTTACGTCCTCGGGATCCAGAACAGCTCATGATATTAAGAAATATAGTATACCACGGTAAGATAAATCTGCTGTTTATTGCCATTTTCCGATTAGGTGAGGTAGAAGCTACGGGCAAATGTGGTGGAAGCCACGAGCTGACATGACAAGGAACTCCATGTCATCAACTTAATCCTTACACTTCATACACCAGGAGAAGCCATCTGTCATCTATCACAGTGCTGTTGTTGGCACACGTGCGGACTTTATGAATACATAATTGACAAATCACAGGCATGACATGAATGAGTAAAACTACAAGCTATCATGTAAATTACACAGGATCTTAGAATAGGGTGGACATAATGGATGGTCCCTATTTTCATCAGCAATTTAATAGCAGCAATGTACTAATTGAACCCACATGCACTAAAGACATGCAATCAGGGTATGTTATTTGAGAGTTCCTTTGAAGATTTAATGTATTCTGTCATTGCTGTGTAGATATATAAGTGTAGTTCACCATTAAGAATTGGCTAGATTAAGAAATGGTTTTTCTCTCTCCATCTTTAAAAAGGCCAAATAATTCACTCAAGCAAGGCTGCCCTTCATTCCAAATAGAAATCTAAAGGATCCTGTGTATTTGCAGGAGCAAAGCCTTCAAGCTCACTTTATACCGCAATAGAAATAAGAACATGAGAATGTGAAATTAATATTTTTATGTAATGCTGAGATCTCTGTCCATTTTAGTACGTGCATTTGATTAATGTGCAAAGGAGAGTTAGCTGTAATATTTTCAGTTTTAGAAAAGACAGAAGAAGAAAGCATAACATGTAAAGACCATGAGATAAATAGCATGTGGAAATAAGCATTGTCACAAACTTTCAACTGTAAATATTAGCCACATGCTAATGTGTGCACATGTATGATAGCACTTTGTATTTCCTTTTTCTTTTTCGCTTAATACAAAATGATTATGTGGAAGACATCAGGTGTGGGCGGAGACAGCTGCTGATGGATTGGAAAAGCCGGGGATCTGAGTTTTATCAAGCAGACCTGACATTCAGCCACAAAACATCTCAGGAACTGAAATGTGCCTTCACTTGCTCATGGTCGTGGTATAACAGTTAGCTCTAAGAATCACATCATAAGCACAAGAGTTACAAAAAATATAGAGAAAAGCCTTTTAAAGCATAAACGTGTTGCATTATGGCTTTTTTGCTGTTTTAGGTATACGTACATTGCAGGTCATGTGCAAGTCCAGCTTTTTAGAGTAACTAAAACTGCAAACTATTTACAGCAGTTGAGAAAAAGCCCAAGGTTACATGTTTATTAAACTGGAAAAGCAATCTGTTTGCATTACTTTCCATACTCTCTGCCATTTGAGACATTCGCAGCAAATTTGAGAAAGTTAGATTAGAGAGTTGAATGATTATTATTGTTTAGTTTGCTCCTCGAAGAGTCAGTGTCAGTAGAGGAGATTCAATTTCATATTCTGCAAACAAGTTTGTTGAATTTACTATGAACTGTTTGTCTACAAAGTACCATCTCTCCCTGCCAGCATCCACTGAGACGCCTATAGAAAAATACACATATGCGGTATTAAAGACCTGGTTGAGCAAAGTGTCACTCTAATAAACTAGATAGATAAATTCTTTCTTTGCCAACTCCATGGATGAAGAGCAAACAGGCTTTTTTCACAAGTAAATACTCATCATTTGATGCCTCTGGCTCCCTTGTAGGTACCCTAGGTCATATTTAGTACAATTTGATTACTGTACTGGTTAAGGTCATCTTGTAAAAAGGAAGAAAAGTAGATTTCAGATTCAAATGGCTTAACAATGTAAACTGTGTTGATAAATTACTTTTGTTAAAACAAGAAACTCGACTGCTGAGTTTAAATTGTATTCATGACGAATTAGAAAGTTCTGTTGATCATGTATTTATCTCATCTATAAATCTAAAATCTAAAGATACTGATTGTGTAACTCGGTGTAATTAGATCTGTTTGCCCATTTCAAGGAAAAGATCTATAGAATTGTTACCTTCAGAAGTTTTAGTTGTGAGTTCAGCTAATTAGATGTCCAGTGGATTGCTTATGTAAAATTTATGAAGAAAGAACTGCAGTATATTTAGTTCCCATCATGGCTTCTCATCGGGAGTTGGCAACCCTGCCTTATTTCATCTTCTTCTTTGATGTGCTTGTTTTTATATGCTTTTCCTCTAATTTCCTAACTCTTGCGCCAAAACCTCTTCTTTTTTTTTTTTTTAGCACCGACACTCGCCCATCACTATCAGAAAAAATACAGTTTTTATGTGTTTCAACTGACCTTTAACTTTTAACAGTTGTTTTAATTCTGGCTGGGAATGAAGTCGTATTTGTTGCATAACTATGGAAGCAATATGGTAAATAGATGCATCTCGATGAGGGGTTAGGTCATTAATTATTATTTTTATTATCAATAATAAATGAGTCTGTCTTTCTGCAACTGAGACAGATGAGCTGTTACAGAGTAGCAGTTTTACTTTTTCATTTCAGTTTCATTTTCCTTTTATACAGATGTTGTTCTAAGACTCAGACCCTGTTTACTAAAGTCAAAATTCATTTCCTTTGTTCTAATTTTTACTATTTGTTTTCGTCTTAAATTTAAAGTGAGTGTCTGAGTCTCACCACAGCTGACAGTTGAAAATTGGCAACCATGCATTAAGGCAAAAAGTGGACCAGCACGAAGGAGAAAGCTGGCATTTAAGCTTTGTTTTTGAGTGTCTCTGACTCAGCGGGGGCAAAATTGTTTATCTTTCAGTCGACAGAAAGGGGACAGGAGCAGAGTAAAGGCAAGATTATGGCTGTTACTCTGACAGCACAGTCCTGGATTTACAGTAATTTTAACATTTATGGATAATTACTGCAAAAGGGAACTGGTGAGAAAAAAATGTTTTCTACAGAAGACCAGGGGTTGAGAACATCCTGCAGGAGTGGACAGTGGCTGGTTGCTAACTAATCTTTTTTTTCTTCTTCTCTGCTCTCTTTAGGGGTCCCCACAGCGGATTGCGTGCATCCATCTAAACCCTATTGCCAACATTTTCCTCTCTCATGCCAACCCTCTTAATGCCCTCCTTTAATACATCCATAAATCTTCTCTGTGGTCTTTCTCTTGTCCTCCTGCCTGGCTCGCCATATTCAACATTCTTTACCCAATATATCCACTATCCTTCCTGTGCATATCTCCTATCCTTGTAGATTAAAGGTAGCCTTATCTCTCTAACTTTAACTCAAAACCTGAGCTGCCCTTCTGATGCAATCATTTCTAATGCTCTCTCTTATGGTCACTGCCACTGAAATTCTTAGCATCTCCAGCTTTGCCTCCTGATGCTTTGGTAGCACCACCTTCTCCAAACCATACATGTGACTGCTAATCAATATGTCAGCAAATAACTGTCTCATGGAAGTGACACAAAAATAAAGCTAAGAGGTCTTTCAGGACAGTGGCATAAGCTGGATATCACTGCAACCCTTAGAATTAATTAACAGAGTTGCATTATCAGTTTGACTTTTGGCCAAAACAGTTACATGGCACTTTCTCAAGCAATAGTACATCAGGTCAAGACAAAATGGTAAATGACTCACTTCCTTAATCTCCCTTAAGTATACCCTTTTCTTCCTCTATGAGGTTATAAGATGATAAATGCTCCCCTGCTCATGAAATCCGGAAGACGATAACCTTCCCACTAGCAAGGTAAAAATCTCCCTAGAGCTCTTAGTGTGTGTGTTAGTGTGTTGTTAAAGGAAGGCCAAGCCTAACAATAACCTGGTTCTAATTATTACTATGCAGACTGCAAACATGCTTATGAGGCACCCAAAGGAAAATTATTATGCAATTACGTGACCTGAAAAGCAAACTCCATCTCAGCATATCACATGCACCTCTATATTGTTCTAATTTAATTACATTAGACTAAATACTCTGGTGGCAGTGATGAAGTGAAATGATTAGAAAGCTTTAGCACAAGTGCTTGTCCATTTCTGTTTGGATTAAGCACTTATCTGTGTTGCTTGCAGGCAGAAAACAGATTTATGCGGATGCACACACGCAAACAAATTTCCATGTGTATTGTGCGTGAAAGGATTGTCTTCTTTGTGTCTAATTCATTGATGTAGAAAAGACGGTTTGCATATTGTCCATTGGTGTCAAATCTGATCTAGTCCTAACATTCTCAGTGGATGGATACACACACACATACACACACAATACCGTTCAGCATGTAAACTGAAGTCATGGGAGACCCACCCCTTGGCCACATGGGGGAATCTCTAAAATATAGATCAAAAGGCTGGATTTCTGTCAGGCATTACAAATCTTTTGATGGAAGGTTTAAAGGGCCTCCTTTGAACTGCTTCGTTTTTTTTAATTAAAGGCCAACATGCAAAAGACAAAATTCAAATAATAAATTATCTGTCAAGCAGCCAATGTGACCCCCCTCTCGCCACCTCCACCGCTTCTCGAGGTGCTACAAAAAGGCACAATAACAAACTTTTCTTTTCAATTTGTTACTCCGAGTGGATACATAAAATAAACAACTCAGAGTGTTTGGGTCAGCTTGCACCTTGGACTATCTTGCTTTATTGCACGTTGTGTTACAAGGCCAAAGTAATTTTCACATAGGGATGTGTGCTCACTGAAAATAGCAAGACCAGCACTGAAACACCACCTCATAAATTACAGTGAAAGGAATCCTACCTTGTCGTACGTCTCGGGGCGCTATGGCGATTGCATCATTGGAATGCAGTTCGGTGACGCAACAGTCATCAGGAGCCAGTGACCCGTTACTGAAAGTGTGCGGTGTCTCTGGGAGCAGAGGAACAGGTGGTGCCATAATGTTGTGATTTGGACAAATACAGCCTGTCTGGGTCATCCCACAACCATCCCCATCAGAAACCTCCTGGTCTGCATTGTGATCAGTGCGCAAACACTCCTCGAACCATCGGCAGAGCACACCGCAGGTAAACTGACTGGAGTTTTCGTTGTTAATGAGTAACACCTCTACCAGTCTCAGCTCCAGCAATTCCTTAGATACCTGAGGCTCATCTGCAGCTGGATGTCTCGTTAGACACAGTTGGACAAAGTTCTTATCGAACTGCAGAAAGGAGTAAGGTCCGTCTGAACTGGTGCGGCTGCCACAAAGATCGATGACTTCCTGATCTCTGGCTGTGGCCGTCTGTAAGTGCAGGGGACAGCTTTGATTGGCTAGGTGGTGGTCAAGGGAAAGGAGCATGGGGGAGTGTGTCCTACAAATGACAGGGTGGCGCGTGAAGCGGAGATAGAGGGAGTACTTGGTGGGATCCGGGTTTTCCAGAGACCAGGAACAACCCGGTGCCCTGGAGGGAAAAAGCTCCCTTAGGGAGAAAGAGCCATAGAGCACTCCAGCTACAAGGCTGGAGCATGGTGAGGACAAAGGCGAGGGGGCCCCCTCTGCCCCGGTGCTGGGGACGCTATTGGCAACCCCATAGGCAGCCTCAGCCAGGGCAGAGAGAGGAGCTAGAGCGAGGGCAGACACGGCAGCCAGGGCCCCAGCCACAGCCAGGAGAGAGGACAGCACAGACAGACACACCCCACCAGCAGTGTTCATCCTATGACATTCGTCCTGCAGGGGGAGAGAAGAGAGAATAGGATGGGTGAGGCGGGGATAGAGAGAGATCTGATTGGACATTAGACATATTAGGCAATACTTTCAAACAAAATCAACATGACACGGATAAAAGAGAAAAAGTTCAATATTGTATTTAAAAAAATCACATCAAGCTGAAAATGTTTTGGACAGCTTTCTGCCACTCCTCAGAGTAGAATATAAACAACTTCATGGCAGCACTTCTCACGAAGTTCTTCAAACATACACACACAAGCGCCGTCAAAAACACAAACACATCCCTGCTGGGCTGGATTAAAAGGGTTGATGACTTGGCTGTTGAGACATGCACTGTGGGGCCTGCTCTACCCTTTCCTGCTGATATGTGCACACAAACACACAGACAACATCACGTACACATACACACACCATCGCCTGCTGAGAAGCTCCCCCAAGGCTCTGGCAAACTATTACCATCACCGACACAGTGAGGGTCCGCCAACAGCCTGATTTTGACTCACACAACACACACACACACAGCTGACAAAAAAACCTCTATATACAGTGTTTTAGCATTTTTCTTGAAACTACTTCAATAGTCACTATATTTTTGTATTCTCAGTGTGTCGGCTCCATCACCTAAGACTTTCAAGTGGTTCTGCATAATTGTGGTTTGAAGAGGATGCGTGGGAGATGGGAAATGTTTGCACCACTCTACCAATAACCTTATAGCATAATACCTACTTTTTCTTGCAAAAAATATTACTATGCTTTGAAATTCAATAAATGCCTCAAGACAACACATACTTTTACCACAACTTTGTACTGTAAACACATTACAAAACTTTACAAAGCTACTACACAATACCACAAAAAGTCATTGATGAATTAAAAAAATGAAACTGCAAAGAAAAAAAACAAAGAATTTCTTTGAATTAATGAACTCTATATAAATAATATGTTCAGATGCAAAGATGCAGGACTTGGAAAGCCATCTCATGAATGAGGTACTTTCTGGGCTGATGTGCTTTTTTTTCTTAATTTAATTGATGCATGGTTCTCTTAAATTCCTCCAGCACATTTCAAATGCAATGCGGTTTGAACTGGACTTTTGCAGCTGTGCTTGGGATTATTGTCCTGTTTCATGACCTATTGACATATGGCCTCACATTTGACTCTAGAACAATTTGGTATACAACAGTCATTGGTTGACTCAATGACGGCAAGGTGTCCGGGTCCTGTGGCTGCAAAACAAGCCAACTCATCACCCCTCCACCACAGTGCTTCACAGATGGTATGAGGTGTTTGGCCATAATGCACAGCATCGCATTTGGCCGATACCAAAAACAGCATATCAGCACAAATGTGTCTGCTTTGGTGTCATCTGTCTAAAGGACATTTTTCCACAAGTCCTGTGGTTAGTTCAGATGCAACATGATCTTTTTAGAGGGGAGTGGCTTTCTCCTGGCAACTATTCAAAACAAGCCATACTTGTCATGTCATAAACTTTAACATCTAACATGTTAACCGAGGCTGAACATTGCATGTTCTGACTTTGGGGTGAAGATTTCCACTCTTAGGGAATTGGCAGCTGTCATGAATGTTTTCCACTTGTGAATAATCCATCTTTCTGCGGAATGATGGACGTCAAATGGTTTGAAAAAGGTCTTATAGTCTCTGCAGTCTCTGTAGATGATTAGAAACAATTTCTTTCTCTAAGATTATTGCTGATGTCTTTCTTCCTTGGCACTGATTTAAAACACACCTGAATGCTCCAAATACCCCCGTGCCAAACCTTCTGCTTTTACAGAGGTGCTCACATTTGCTGAAGATCAGTTAATAAGGTACATTTGATTAGCAGCACCTGGCTGCTACTTACCCTCTTCATTCACATGGAAATAATAAGGGTGGTATAATTTTTTTTTCACACACTTCTGCATTTGCCTTAATTTCTTATAAAATAGTAAGACACAACTTAGCACATCTTAGGTTTTATTCACCTATTTTTAAATTTTATTTAATATTCTCATTTGATTATTTGATGTCAAGTGTATGAGCTCACAAAATGTCATCTTCTTGTGAGCCAGCTGAGTGAAAGAGAATAAAAACATCCTTCTCTTTCTCTTCTCCTCAGCTGTAGTCTTGGTAACTTGCTTGTAGTGGGCCCAAGCTCTTGTTATATAATCCAAATTAAACATTAATGCATAAAAGTGAGAAAAACAGTGGAATTTCTGAAATTCATGGTGTGTCGTAGATGTAAATGAAATGGCAGATAAATCACATATGTACAACCACAAGGGCATGCCACGTGAAACTGAAATTACACCCTTTTGCACTTGCACTGGTTATTTTGGGAGTATTTTTTTTCACTCTGACAAGTATGGCTGTCTGGAGTGCACTACATAACTATATATTATACGTATAATGGTCAACAAGTTCTATATGGTCCATATCTCATTCTAGACGAGTGCCATCTTGGACTGGGAGGGACCACGGATTTTTAACCAATAGCAAAAGAATATCTTGGTACAAATGCAAATTCTATCTACATAGTGAACACTGACAAAATTTCATCAGGTATTGACTTTAAAAATTATGTTAAACTGTTTAATTATTAGTGTGAAGTGTGGCATGACAGTGCCAATCAGATTACTAAACCTTCCTACACAATGTTTGTACGTTGAGAGCAACTCCACTTCCTTTAGGCTCAGATTAGTGAAATGCAGCAGTTACCTGTACTCACAGGATTTATATAAGTCTGATAAGGCCCTCCATCACTGCACATGTAGTCCACAAGATTTTGGTAAGAGGCTTACTTCACCAATGTCAAGAGGTGACTCCCCAGAGTTAGACAGCAAGAGGCACTTACGCTTATAGGTGTGAGATTTTAATGAGGGCCAAACAAAAGACAACGAGAAAGATGGAGGAGGAAGAGATGTTGAAGGAAGAAGTGAATTAAAGTTAAAGCCATTATACAACAACAGGGGAAATATGTACACAATTTGCATCACTTAACATGAAAAATAAATAATCCCCTTTGGAGTGGGGGGAAGCATTTTGTTGATGCTAACTCAGAGTGATGTACAGTGCATAAAATACTGTCATGCTCAAGGACAGTTGACCTACACGCAATTTTTCTGGACGATAAATCTGCTTCACCGGGGTCACGGGAAGGTCTCCGAAACCAGTATGCCACCCTGTTGTGCAGTGAGGAGCACAGGAAAGACAAATGTTCTTTAAAAATGTCCCATATGTAAGTGATGAAGAAGAAGAAAAAAGTGTTAATTCTTTTTTTTTATGTTTGTTTTTGTCAAAGACAGCAACCGGAGACATTTTGCAAAAACACACACACACATATAACATACGAGTACTTGTACACAGAATATTCATTGTAGGCCTCCATTTGCCAACAGCACACCACTCAAAGGCACCGTACTTCTGTTCCCTTATCAGGCACTGTTTACTCTGGGAGGAGCTGGTAGTCGTGTGGGACAAGTAACCATAGCAACATTGTGATATTCTGTTTTTTTTTTCCTTTCTCTCCTTCATCTTAGTCTTGTGTTACTATTTAGACTGGGTGTTTCTTCTACCACATTCCCACCTTGATACCCCCCCCCAACACACACACAGAATGAATGATCCAAAGAGCTTTCAAACAGCACTAGTGTGAGCTATAGAGACAAATGCATTGCACAGTGGGGGAAAGGTGGAAGGAATGTAGCATCTTGTGAAATCTGCTCAAGGATGATGCTGTCTGGCATGTGACGGGGTTATAGTCTTGTACCTGTCTGTTACAGACTGTCCTACTTAAATCAATAAAAAGATAAATACACAGAATGAATATCTGCACAATCTGCACAGGGGACACAGGCCCTGTGAAAAACATGTCACTTAGTTGTATGAATATAATGAATTATCTATATGACAAACTTCTTATATTTTTTTCCTTTCTGTACTGAAGGGATCGATGTGCCCTATGCTATATATTAATAAATACAGACTTTTGGATTGTTTCATTTATGTGCCAAAAATCAAAGTGTCTTCTGTAACAGACCGAACAAAAGTGAGGGTAGATACAGTATAGTCCAAACCATGCATAGGTTAAGAAAAAAAAATACACACATTTTACGGATGAAAAGAAGTCAAAAGCGTTAAGCAAATTGTTTTTGGGACAATGAGCAATGAATATTCATAGAGCCACAGTCTGTGCTGGAGTAGGCCCTAAAGTGCTGTCTTCATGAGGCCATTCTGTCCCACTTCACTCTAAAACAGCACTTTACTATGGGCATCCATAAATATTCATTAGCTTTGATGTCTTCCTTCCCCCTTCCACCTTGACATTAATGTTATCACCAAGGATGGCAAAATATGTATATCCCTCACTCCCCGTCTCACCATCCTCTCCCGCTCCTCTTGGCTCTGTCGTTATTCTTTAATGCCGTGCAAGTGACAATATGACTCATCTGATTTTTGTCCTTACCATAAAACATCTGCAAGACAGAACAGTGCTGGGGCACTAGTTTTGAAATAATATCACAGCACTAAAAAGTATCGCTGTCCTTGACTGGGCTTATTATTTCACAGAGTGCTTTAAAGCATCATTAATGACAGATCAAAAATGGGTCTTTTGTCCTCGACAGTAGAGTACTGAATGTAGTTTAGGGGAAACATATACTTTGATTCAAGAAAAAAAAAAGATTTTAATGCTTTGTATGTGTTCTTGCCCTGGAACTTAAAAAAGGGACCTTATATATATTTAGCATTTGAATTCACTCTAGCATAAAAAATGATTTGTATCTATTCCTTTTACACAGCAGGATCCTTTTCCCATGATGATAAAATGGGATATTAATGATCACCAGTTATATTATTCCCCATACACTTGTCTCTAAAAACCTCGCCTCTGTCTCCAGAAAAGCTTGCCTGACTTATAAACTTGCATTGAACTGTTGCTGAGCCATGCTGTGAAACCACAAGGCAAAACACCCTGAATGACTGAATTATAAAATAATCTCTGT